AATCAAAAGGACCAGGGTGATGATATTTGTCCAGTAAAATGCTGGCATGAAGGACTGTCAAGTTTGTTTAAATGAATTTATTTGACCCATATTCAAGGTCACAGGAGTCAATTGTCTTATAAAAAGTTTCTACAACTTCTTCTGAATAACAAAAAGGCCAAAAATGATATTTGGCCAGTAACATGCAATGATGAAGGGCCACCAAGTTTGTTCAAATAAATTACCTTTGTCAATAATCAACGTCACAGGGGTCAAATATGTTGAAATCTTAAAATGACTTCTTCTGAATAACCAAAAGGTTAAGGGTGATGATCTTTAGCTAGTAGAAAGAACAGATGAAGGGGTACCAAGTTTGTTCAAATGAATGACCTTCACTCAGCTCAAGGTCACAAGTGTCAAATATGTTAATAATTTTAACAACTTTTTCTGAATAACCAAAAGGACCAGGGGCATGATATTTGGCCAGTAACATGCGCTGATGAACAGCTACCAAGTTTGTTCAAATGAATGACCTTAAATCTTATTCAAGGTCACAAAGGTCATTTGCCATAAAAAAGCCATATTCTCAAAAATCAAAAGGTCTTGGTTGGTGTTATTGGGCAAGTTGCATTCTGGGATGAAGGGCTATAAAGTTTATTCAACTTTCACCTTGTAAACTGTGACAGGATATAATATATAAACATATTTATATATTAATACCCTTTCACAGTTTACAAGCAAAAATCATTGAAACTTTCACATAATGATCATGCAACAATGTGGAGGTGATTTTTGGGGGTTGAGCATTGTGCGGAACTTTAAAACCAACAAAAAAAATAAAGAAATTTTGCTTTTAACTGAAAAAAATGTTTTATTTATCATAAAATTTATTACACAGTTCACAACGTGGTTTTTATTAAAATTATATGGATAGATGTGATTAACTAAAAGCAAAAAAATAAGAACACATTACACATTTTTGAATTACTTTGATCTGGATGTGATTTGTTTCACTTGAAAAATTGTAAAGGCCACAATTTTGTATAAATGGAGGGTGTGTCCCCCCCTTGGGCAGAGGGGCAGAGCCCAATAGTGGAAATAGAGAAAAATCTTTCTACTTCTGTACAAAAAAATCTTTCTACTTCTGTACAAATAAAGGGATTTAAAGCAAATGTGGTCTGAAGCATGCTTAGGGAAAAAACATTCAATTTTATGTAAACTGCGGCTGTTGCCCCCTTTTTTGCAAGAAGGGTGGGGCCAAATTTGGGAAATAGAGGGGAAACAATGAAAAATCCTTCTCCTTTTGCACCAATGAAGGTATTTTAACCAAACATCTTTGGGCAAAGGGGATTCAATTTTGTATAAATGGAGGATGGGGGGCAGAAGGGGCCCCAATAGGGGAAATAAAGAAAAAACTTTCTCCGTCTGTACTAATGAAGGGATTTAAACAAAATGTTGTCTGGAACATCCTTTGGAAAAGATGACTCAATTTTTTATACACTGAGGCTGTGGCTTCCCTTTAGGGCTAAGGGTGGGGCCCAAGAGGGAAAATAGATGTAAATCTTTTGAAAGCTTTCTCCTTTTGCATGAATAGAGGGATTATCACCAAATTTGTTATGGATCATCTTTGGGCAAAGAGGATTCAATTTTGTATAAATGGAGGATATGCCCCCTGGGGGCAGAAGAGCGGGGCCCAATAGGGGAAATAGAGAGATTTTTTTTTCCTTTTGTACAAATGAGGGAATTTGAACCAAATGTGGTCTGGAGCATCTTTAGAAAAAGATGACTCAATTTTCTATATACTGAGGCTGTGCCCCCTCCCCCTCCCCCTCAATAGGGAAATTGAGGGTGTGGCTTCATATTTAAAATACTTCTCCTTCCAAATGAATGGAGGGATTTTAACCAAATTTAGTCAAGAGAACCCTTTTGCATGTGGGACTCAGGTTTATATAAACAGTGTGTGTGGCCCCTCAGGGGGCAGAGGGGTGTGGACCAATACCGGAAATAGAGGTATATCAATAAAATCCTTCACCTTCCATATGAATTAAGGTATTTTATCTCCACCCTATAACCAACTATATTTAGCTCACAATGTACAGAAGCAGGTCAAGAATGATCATTGATACTCGTGTGAATAAAAACATAAAAACTGTGTATTTTATTTCTTAGAGTCTCAATATTTTGCCCTTGAGGGGTTGGGGGGATACTTCATTTTTAGCTCACCTGCCCGAAGGGCAAGTGAGCTTATGTCGTGGTGCAGCGTCCGTCGTCCGTCTGTCGTCTGTCCGTCCTTGTCCGTCAACTTTTCCTTTCAACAACTTCATCTGAAGAACGGATAGGCCTAGAGTCATGATATTTGGCTGAAAGCTTTGTTGGTAGAAGCCCTACAAAGTTTGAGAACGAAAATGACCTTGACCTATTTTAAAGGTCACAGGAGTCAAATATGTCAAAAACTTCAAACGACTTCTTCTGAACAACGGAAAGGTATAAAATCTTTATATTTGGCTTGTAGATTCCTAGGAAATAGCCCAACAAAGTTTGAGAATGAAAATTAGTTTGACCTACATTCAAAGTCACAGGGGTCAAATATGTCAAAAACTTCAAACGATTTCTTCTGAAGAACTAAGAGGAATAGAATCTTCATATTTGGCTGATTGGTTCCTGGGATGGAGCCCAACAAAGTTTGAGAATGAAAATTAGTTTGACCTACTTTCAAGGTCACAGGAGTCAAATATGTCAAAAACTTCAAACGATTTCTTCTGAAGAACTAAGAGGAATAGAATCTTCATATTTGGCTGATTGGTTCCTGGGATGGAGCCCAACAAAGTTTGAGAATGAAAATGGCTTTGACCTACTTTCAAGGTCACAGGAGTCAAATATGTCAAAAACTTCAAACGATTTCTTCTGAAGAACTAAGAGGAATAGAATCTTCATATTTGGCTGATTGGTTACTGGGATGGAGCCCAACAAAGTTTGAGGAAGAAAATTAGTTTGACCGACTTTCAAGGTCACAGGGGTCAAATGTGTCATACACTTCAAACGACTTCTTCTGAACAACGGAAAGGTATAAAATCTTTATATTTGGCTTGTAGCTTCCTAGGAAAGAGCCCAACAAAGTTTGAGAATGAAAATGACCTTGACCTACTTTCAAGGTCACAGGGGTCAAATGTGTCAGACACTTCAAACGACTTCTTCTGAACAACTGAAAGGTATAAAATCTTTATATTTGGCTTGTAGCTTCCTAGGAAATAGCCCAACAAAGTTTGAGAATGAAAATGACCTTTACCTACTTTTAAGGTCACATGAGGCAGATATGTCAAACACTTCAAATGACTTCTTCTGAAGAACTGGAAGTTATAGAACCTTAATATTCGGCTGGTTATTTCCTGGGAAAGAGCCCAACAAAGTTTGCGAATGAAAGTGACCTTGACCTACTTTCAAGGTCACAGAGGTCAACAACATTTTAATAGATTTGTTCTAAGAACTAAAAGGAATGGATTCATAAGATTTGGCTGGTAGCTTTTTGAATAGAGCTTACCAATTTGAGAAGGAAAATGACATTGACCTACTTACAAGGTCACAGGGAAAAATATGTCAAGCAACTTCTGAAGAATCAAAAAGCATAGAATCTTGTAATAATATTTTGCTGGTAGTTTCAACAGATGGAGCCAACAAAGTTTGTGAGGGAAATATTTTTAGTGCAATATAATATTTAATGAGAATATTTTGCTATGACTGCTTAGATATTCAGGTGAGCGATACAGGCCCTCTTGGGCCTCTTGTTTGAAAGGAAATGATGAAAAATGTGTCAACATGGGCTTTAATGAGAAAAGATCTACAAGAAGCCTCTTTTTCAGTGCCATTATATAAAGACCTCGGGTCCTGATAGTCGGCCAGTAAGTACTTAATGTGCGATAACGTTCTATCATATATAAACTTAACCTACTTTCAAGGTCATAAGGAACATATATGTCAATATCTTAACAGCTTCTCCTGATTAGTAAAGTGGCATTGGGTCATGTTATTTGTCTGGCAGAATGCCTGATTTACCAGTAAGTGAGATCAAGTTTGTTCAAATGAATAACCTTGACCTAATTCTCAATCATTTTTCCCAATATTATTTTTGGGAAGATTGTTAAGTGTTTTTCAGTGGATTCCTCAGATCTAAAATAATAATATTTGGCCTGTATCTATCAAGTGTGTAAATGAAAACTTTGATTATCTATATCCAGGTAAAGAGTGATATTATATACAATCCACTTTATAGGTCACAGATTTGTTTGCAAATAACACTGAAAAGTAGCTGATTGGTAGTTGAGTTTAATAGGACGATTTGGTCTCGAAATTATAATCCTGTTAATATCTTACAAACTGTGTAGTCTAGTTATTTTACTTATATTCCTGTGAATGTCTCACAATCTGTAGTCTAGACATTTCACTTATAATCCTGTGAATGTCACACAATCTGTAGTCTAGACATTTTACTTATAATCCTGTGAATGTTACACAATCTGTATTCTAGACATTTTACTTATAATCATGTGAATGTCTCACAATCTGTAGTCCAGACATTTTACTTATTATCCTGTGAATGTCTCACAATCTGTAGTGTAGACATTTTACTTATTATCCTGTGAATGTCACACAATCTGTAGTCTAGACACTTTACTTATAATCCTGTGAATCTCTTACAATCTGTAGTCTAGACACTTTACTTATAATCCTGTGAATGTCACACAATCTGTAGTCTAGACATTTCACTTATAATCCTGTGAATGTCACACAATCTGTAGTGTTGACATTTTACTTATAATCCTGTGAATGTCACACAATCTGTAGTGTTGACATTTTACTTATAATCCTGTGAATGTCACACAATCTGTAGTCTAGACATTTCACTTATAATCCTGTGAATGTCACACAATCCGTAGTTGATTTGTAATAATGATAAGTTTCCTTTGTCTCTGATCCCCATGTCATTGTCTTGGTAACTAGATATACTAGTTGTTTGGTTATAGGTGTCACACACTGCTGTACTGTAGTAGTTTGACATCCTGACACGAATACCCAAACACTGCCCACAGGACATCCTCCCTGTCTATACCTGCAGCCCATGAACCGCCTGTGTCTGTGTGTATGACCCTGAGGAATTCACCACCTCCACTGATGAGTAGGACCCTGTTGTTGTGATAGTCCCCTATGATCAGGTTCCCCACACTGTCATACACCACACCACGGGGGTAAAATGGTTTACCTCCTGTTTGTGGTGTTGGTCTATATGTTCTGGGGATGTCACCTCTATATACAAACAGCTCCTTGAAATCAGTGTCCATCACAACAACATGTATGTTTCCATCACCACCATCTGTTTCACTACTGAAATCAGTGACTGCCACATTGTGAGTGACAGGACACGCTGAGATCCTGTGTGGTGTACACACTAATGGTTTCTCAGTCCCTTTAGCCATTGTAGTACACACCATTTTACCATCTGTGGTAAATTTGGAGATGTGTTTGGTCATCCCTACAATGACATGGTTACTGGCTGTAACACATATACACCTGGGATCCTCCTTGGTACTGAATCTGCGAGTCAGTCGTCCTGATACCAGCTCCATGATGTTGTTTTCTGTATCACAGACCCACAGTGTGTGTGTGGTGGGTGACAGACTGATGTCATTGATCAAGACATTGTGTTTGACCTTCTGTATTACTTCACCCTTCCTGTCCAGGAGAGTTAATGTGTCACTGTACATGGTCCACACCTGACCATCAGTGGTGGGACATATAGAATTAATGTAACATGGAGACTCCCACTCCTCCACTACCTTGGTCTGTGGCAGTAGTTTGTATGTTGTCACTTTTTTTCTTCCCTTTTGTTCCTGACTGTTGTTGTTGTGAAGAGGTTTGTCCCCGACCATCAGATGTTGAGACTGACCGATCCTGGTCAGTTAAAGTTTGACCTTGACCCAAGGCTTTTTTCAAGTGATCTTGAGGATTTTTATTTGGAGTGAAGTTGGCAGTACCCAGGACAGGTTTTACAGGGAGACTGTGTGTAGGAGAATGGATCTCACAAAATGTATCGTAAATCTGTATGTGTGAACCACGCTGGAGAGCTGCTTTACATTCTTGAACTTGTTGTTTCAGTTGCTGCTCGTACATCTCGAGGTCCTGTTTGTATTTCTTTATCAGCTTGGTATTATCCTCTTTCATTTTGTGGTAAAGGGAGAGTGTCTGTTCTGTAAGCATGTCCAGCTCTTGTTTTAATTTATCTGTTTGTAATTTTAACTTTTGTGACAGCTTCTCAAAAGTACTGGTGTTGTCTTTAAGGAGCGTATCAGTAGCGGTGATATATTTCCCAATTTGCACAAGGTCATTTTTTTCTGTTCTGTCTATAAAGTTTTTAATGTCCGATTCTTTCTGAGGAGTGATTTCACTTAGCTCACAAACGAAATGGCCTTTATGAATAGAAGAAAGGCATTTTGGACAAACCAGTTCCTCACACTTTTCACAATAAAAATATAGTTTTCTTCCGTTGTGGTGAATGCATGTATTTTGACCTTTAATACGTAGAGGAATTTGACTTATAGGGGTTGCCATTTTGATGAAAAGCTAAAACATTTGTTGAAATCTTGAAGATGTTTGTTGTTCTTGTATAAAGATATTGTTATCAGTTAACACTCACATATTAGAGTAAGGTAAAGAAATGAAAACTTGACTTGACTGTCCCATCCAGTAGTATATGTTTGTTTAACATTTAGTAATGTAAAAACAATAATAGAATAACTACCTCACGATCACTGATGTCACAGGGTTACTGTGATGATGAATCCAGGTTTTCCATTCCATAATTCTCAGTGTTCACTTACATTGTCTAAAGTTATCCAGCCCTAGAATTCACAATCACATGATGAACTTCCCTCTTGCTTTGTTGATAAATCTGTCACTTTCCTGCTGACATTGTAAAAGTTTGATCAAAACTTAAAGTCAAAAGTTCGGCTGAAATTGACAATGCTGCTGACTAGTTAGTAATATCAACAAATTTTGCTCTAGATACGCCCATCACTGCAGAAATGCGTATAGCTACCTGTTTAGACCTGCAGGTGTGCAGACTAAATAACTTCCTTGTTGAGCGAGGTTACCGACAGACAAACAGTGATACTAAAGCAATAGATTGTGTAGTAGGTCAGTGTAGGTTGTGTTGATAAACTGTAGCATTTACATACCAAGTGTGTATTGCCTAAAATGTATGTGTATTCAGTAATATGATACCTGTACTGTGGGTAGATATACCTGTGTATTGGGTAATAAGACATACCTGTACTGTANCAGTTGCTGCTCGTACATCTCGAGGTCCTGTTTGTATTTCTTTATCAGCTTGGTATTATCCTCTTTCATTTTGTGGTAAAGGGAGAGTGTCTGTTCTGTAAGCATGTCCAGCTCTTGTTTTAATTTATCTGTTTGTAATTTTAACTTTTGTGACAGCTTCTCAAAAGTACTGGTGTTGTCTTTAAGGAGCGTATCAGTAGCGGTGATATATTTCCCAATTTGCACAAGGTCATTTTTTTCTGTTCTGTCTATAAAGTTTTTAATGTCCGATTCTTTCTGAGGAGTGATTTCACTTAGCTCACAAACGAAATGGCCTTTATGAATAGAAGAAAGGCATTTTGGACAAACCAGTTCCTCACACTTTTCACAATAAAAATATAGTTTTCTTCCGTTGTGGTGAATGCATGTATTTTGACCTTTAATACGTAGAGGAATTTGACTTATAGGGGTTGCCATTTTGATGAAAAGCTAAAACATTTGTTGAAATCTTGAAGATGTTTGTTGTTCTTGTATAAAGATATTGTTATCAGTTAACACTCACATATTAGAGTAAGGTAAAGAAATGAAAACTTGACTTGACTGTCCCATCCAGTAGTATATGTTTGTTTAACATTTAGTAATGTAAAAACAATAATAGAATAACTACCTCACGATCACTGATGTCACAGGGTTACTGTGATGATGAATCCAGGTTTTCCATTCCATAATTCTCAGTGTTCACTTACATTGTCTAAAGTTATCCAGCCCTAGAATTCACAATCACATGATGAACTTCCCTCTTGCTTTGTTGATAAATCTGTCACTTTCCTGCTGACATTGTAAAAGTTTGATCAAAACTTAAAGTCAAAAGTTCGGCTGAAATTGACAATGCTGCTGACTAGTTAGTAATATCAACAAATTTTGCTCTAGATACGCCCATCACTGCAGAAATGCGTATAGCTACCTGTTTAGACCTGCAGGTGTGCAGACTAAATAACTTCCTTGTTGAGCGAGGTTACCGACAGACAAACAGTGATACTAAAGCAATAGATTGTGTAGTAGGTCAGTGTAGGTTGTGTTGATAAACTGTAGCATTTACATACCAAGTGTGTATTGCCTAAAATGTATGTGTATTCAGTAATATGATACCTGTACTGTGGGTAGATATACCTGTGTATTGGCTAATAAGACATACCTGTACTGGGGGTAGATATCCCTGTGTATTGGGTAATAAGAAATACCTGTACTGTGGATAGATATACCTGTGTATTGGGAAATAAGACATACCTGTACTGTAGGTAGATATACCTGGGTATTGGGTAATAAGATATACCTGTACTGTGGGGAGATATACCTGTGTATTCTTGGGATAAGGGGAACCAATTTTATATAAACGGGTCTTGCCCCCCTGGGGGCTGATTAGGAAGGGCATGGCCCAATAGAGGAAATATAGCAAAATCTTTAAAATCCTTCTTCTTATCTAGGAATGAAATGATTTGTTCCATATTAGGTCTGAAGCATCCTTGGGTGAAGGGGAACCAATTTTGTAAAAAAACGTTCGACTGGCCCCACCAGGGGCCCTATATAGTGGAAACATAGCAAATTATTCTTTACAATCCTTCTTCTTCTGTTGGAATGAAAGGATTGGGCCATATTTAGTGTGGAGCATCCTAGGGTAAAGGGGAACCAATTTTATACCTGTACTGTGGGTAGATATACCAGTGTATTGGATAATAAGACATACCTGTACTATGGGTAGATATACCTGTGCATTGGATAATAAGACATACCTGTACTGGAGGTAGATATACCTGTGTATTGGGTAATGAGACATCCCTGTACTGTGGGTAGATATACTTGTGTATTCTTGGGTTAAGGGGGACCAATTTTATATAAACGGGTCTGGGTAGATATACCTGTGTATTAGGTAATAAGACATACCTGTACTTTGGGTAGATATACCTGTGTATTGTGTAATAAGACATACCTGTACTATGGGTAGATATACCTGTGCATTGGATAATAAGACATACCTGTACGGTAGGTAGATATACCTGTGTATTGGCTAATAAGACATACCTGTACTGTGGATAGATATACCTGTGTATTGGGTCATGAGACATACCTGTACTTTGGGTAGATATACCTGTGTATTAGGTAATAAGACATACCTGTACGGTAGGTAGATATACCTGTGTATTGGCTAATAAGACATACCTGTACTGTAGGTAGATATACCAGTGTATTGGGTAATAAGACATTCCTGTACTGTAGGTAGATATACCAGTGTATCGGGTAATAAGACATACCTGTACTGGAGGTAGATATACCTGTGTATTGAGTAATGAGACATACCTGTACTGTGGGTAGATATACTTGTGTATTCTTGGGTTAAGGGGAACCAATTTTATATAAGCGGGTCTGGCCCCCCTGGGGGCTTATTAGGAGGGGCATGGCCCAACAGAGGAAATATAGCAAATTCTTTAACATCCTTCTTCTTATCTAGGAATGAAATGATTTGTTCCATATTAGGTCTGAAGCATCCTTGGGTGGTAATAAGACATACCTGTACGGTAGGTAGATATACCTGTGTATTGAGTAATGAGACATACCTGTACTGTGGGTAGATATACCTGTGTATTCTTGGGTTAAGGGGAACCAATTTTATATAAACGGGTCTGGCCCCCCTGGGGGCTGATTAGGAGGGGCATGGCCCAATAGAGGAAATATAGCAAATTCTTTAAAATCCTTCTTCTTATCTAGGAATGAAATGATTTGTTCCATATTAGGTCTGAAGCATCCTTGGGTGAAGGGGAACCAATTTTGTAAAAAAACGTTCGACTGGCCCCACCAGGGGCCCTATATAGTGGAAACATAGCAAATTATTCTTTACAATCCTTCTTCTTCTGTTGGAATGAAAGGATTGGGCCATATTTAGTGTGGAGCATCCTTGGGTAAAGGGGAACCAATTTTGTATAAACTGTTGGTGTGGCCCCCCTGGGACCTGAGGGGTGGGGCCCAAAAGGGGAAATAGAGGTTAAACCTTTATAATCCTTCTACCATTGGGATCAAGGGATTTTATCCTAATTGAATTATTAGTCTGGAGCATCCTTGGGCAAAAGGGACTCAATTTTGTATAAATACAGGGGGCAGAAGGACGGGGCTCAATAGGAGAAATAGAGGTAAAACCTTTAAAATCCTTCTTCGTCCATTTGGATTAAGGGATTTGGTGACTTTCTGTGTTTTATGGTATCAGTAGTGCTAATACAGATATTATTATTAACTCATTCACCCCTGAAATTTCATATTGAACTTTGAATTGGAAGAGTTCAAATGTGTTTTCAGGGGTGAATGAATTAATGGAAATTACTCCTACTTGATTAAATGATATATTGCTTGCCTTGGAAATTGATATACTGAGTTTTCTTGCTCAAAATAGAAGTATACAAGACATTTCTTGATTGTAAATCTGTATTTTAGGTCAAGATTGAGGAATTTCTGCTGGATCTTGATAATAATTTGGATGATATTGAACTCAATACAGAGGTATTCCATTAAATCATTCATCCCTGAAATTTCATAATAAACTATACCAACCTTTGAATTGGAAGAGTTCAAATGTGTCAGGGGTGAATGAGTTAATGTTTGCATTTTAGTTTCTGGAATGAGGTTAAGAACCAACAATCATTCTTGATAAATTTATTAGATTTTTGCATGCTGTATATAAGTGTCTCGGAAGTGTATGCACATAAGTTGAAAACAACTTCCTACTTTGATTCAAAAGTATGTACGATGGTGCACAAATTACTCTTGTTTTGATTGTAAATGTGAAGTTTGGACCCCCTGGGTGCAGAGGGGTGAGGCCCAAAAGGGGTATTAGAGTAACACCTTTAAATCCTGCTTCTACCGTAGGGATGAGTTTTTTTTTATCCTAATTTGGTCTAAAGTATCCTTGGGCAAAACGGACTTAACCTTGTATAAACGGTGGGTGTGGCCCCTTTGGGTGCAGAGGGGCAGGGCTCAAAAGGGAAATTTGAGGTTTAAACCTTTGAAATCCTTCTCCTTATGTACCATTTGAGGGATTTTATCCGAATTTGGCCTGGAGCATCCTTGGGCCAAGGGGTCTTGCTATTGTATAAATGATGGGTGCGGCCCCTTTGGGTGCAGAGTTGTGGGGCTCCACATCCTGGTCGCGGCACCAATCTGTAACAGGACATCCAGTACAAGCAGTGACTGGCAAGACTATCCTGTTCACTTTGAACAGATAGCTGCCTGGAATGCTTGAACCGACACAGAAAAAGCCCAACAACTAAGTATGAGTTTAAGGGGCACAGTCCAAAAGCTGTTCAGCAATCTAACGGTTTGGTTTGTTTGTGTTTTACATCCTATTAACAGCTATGGTCATTTAAGGATGTGCCAGGTTTTTATCTAACAGTAAGACAGTTATCTGAGTATAACTCCATTAGACAATGTCTTACTCAGAGATTCAATCCTAAGGAAAGGAGTGTAGCACAAAGATGTACATTTAGGGGACAAAGCAGGGTAAAGGTGAGTCAGCTTCAAACTTTGGGTATTCTTCAGATTTACCCTATCATAACCTAGAGTGTCAAGTAATAGATTAGGTCATAAACAGTCTAAAAAATATAAATAACTTTAAAAAAAAAGAAGGGAGCGTTTAGCCACCCCAAAACAGTAGAGGTTATTTCCTCTGCTGTAGAGTACGAGGCTGTAGCAGGTATTAGTCCACAGAAACCTGTGGAAAGCACTGAAAAAGTCTGTTCCATAACCCAATCTGATAGTACAGAGGTCAGATACTAACAATAGAGCAAACAAGTATATAAGCTTCTAGACATGAGGTTACCCAAAAACACAAAGTCAGGAAAGAATGATAAAAAGAAATCTACATCAAGTTAGAAAGAGTTTCTTTTGTGAAGAGAAAGGTCACTAAACGGGGGAATGTTTAAAATTTAGTACTCTGGGAAAAAGAGAAGAGAAAGCTAGCTAAGTGGAAAACTAATTGAAGCTGAGCTCAAGGCGAAGAGTTCAGCGACTTCTAAATGTAGGCCAAAAGAAAATTCTTTAAAAACAGAAGCAAATAAAAAAGGAAAAGTAAGGAAAGAGGGGGGTGTCTGATCAAATCAAATTTCGTATAAATAGTGTACATGTAGACAAGGTTGTCTGTACTCGGATATACAGGTTTGTAATAATACTAGTTGTAGGGTGTTGATAGACACTGGGTCCCCTGTTTCTGTTCTTTCCTATGCTGAATTACGAAACTTCGGACTTGTAGAAAACTCGCTACAGGGATTTAACGAAATCTCACTACAGCGGATGGCAACAGGTTAGAAGTAAAAGGGTGCATTTAATTAGACTTTCTAATGGGTCCTGGTAGTTTAAAGCAAAATTTTGTAGTATCCAATCTTAGCAGTATGGCAGGGATATTGTGTATGAATTTTCTAAGGAAATATGAGTGTAAACTTCAATTTGGGGAAGATCTCCTTATCACCAGTCAGGGTAACATACAGTTAAGTAAACATAAAACACTTAATTGTGCTTTAATCAGACCCTGTACAACAATAGTCTTACAGCCTCATTCTGAACAACTGATAGAATGCCAAAACCTCATTTTTGGCTTGAATGTTGAGGGTTCACCCAGGTGAGGAAGGCAAACCCCCTAGGCCAGGACATACCCAAGTCTTTAAAATAGTAGTTGTTATTCCCTGCTTAAATTTCAGCATTAAGGGGAATGGTAACAACTGGTTCACCCGTTGTCAGTATAATGTGACCGGGCAGAATTCTATGCTTGGTGCCTTCAGCATGGCATTTCAGTGAGATAGCACTATTAAGTCGGCATCAGATCCACGCTATCACAAGGAGGCAAGCACACCATTAAAACCTGTCTCCAGCATACACACACGCAAGCACGCATACACTACACACATGGAGGCATGTCCTTAAATGACCTTAGCTGTTAATAGGACGTTAAACTAAATTAAACCAAACCAATCTGATAGAATGTGAATCAGATGGTCAATTATTAGACAGCACTGTACTAGTGGAGCCTTACTCTTAATGGAGACATAAGGGAGTAGTGATAGCCGGAAGTCTAGGAGACTCTACAAAAAAACAATCTGATCATCTCGGTCATGACAAGTAGTAATTGTAATGGGGGACCATTACAGATGTCCCCCAAACTGCCCCCATAGTCGCAAAGATGCATTAGAAAATGATCATAATGCCATAAAACACCTATATTTTGTTTCTGATCATTTGTATTTTACAGATTGTATACATACAGTACTGATCATTAAGAAATAATTTTGTAGTCATTCTACAAATAAAGATTACTCATCATGTAACTATTGTTTTTTCTGCCATTAAATGTGTAAAAATAAAATACTTTGTTGTATTTTTTGTGGTCAAAATGAACCATGACCTTGTATTCTTCAATATTCAATTTCTTTGCTGGAGCATGAGAATACAAAAATTGTCTGAACCAAGAGAAAACAAAAATTGTCTGGAGCAAGAGAATACAAAAATTGTCTGGAGCAAGAGAAAACAAAAATTGTCTGGAGCAAAAGAGAATACAAAAATTGTCTGGAGCAAAAGAGAATACAAAAATTGTCTGGAGCAAAAGAGAATACAAAAATTGTCTGAAGCAAGAGAATACAAAAATTGTCTGGAGCAAGAGAATACAAAAATTGTCTGAAGCAAGAGAATACAAAAATTGTCTGGAGCAAAAGAGAATACAAAAATTGTCTGAAGCAAGAGAATACAAAAATTGTCTGAAGCAAGAGAATACAAAAATTGTCTGAAGCAAGAGAATACAAAAATTATCTGGAGCAAAAGAGAATACAAAAATTGTCTGAAGCAAGAGAATACAAAAATTGTCGGGCTGGTTAAAGGTCAAGACAGGCATCTTTGATCCTAAATTAACTTAAAAGTAACAGCACTTGATCAGAGCCTTGAAATGGCGGAGTTTTTGTCAGAATTTATTTAATTTGTAGATTGAGAAGATGATGAATGTGGGTTTTGCCACTTTTCCCAGGAAGGCCATATGTATGCTCCTATTACGAAATGACTCATCTTCAACTCTAGTACATGTACGTACGCTTCATGCTAAATTAGGTCAAGATATGTCATCAATTTATACAACATTTGATCCCTTAGTCCAGAGTTGTTGCTCCGTTATAAAATTTAGTCAAAATCTTCACTAGTTCAGTACCTAGTGGTCTTAAATGGAAAACTTAATGCGAGCCACATACATGGCTTTATTAGATTTTTCTGGTCATGTAAAGTTGTTTTAGAATTGGAGTTAAAAGTCTTAGTAGCTTTTCACAATGGTACCTGGCCAAATACCTGGTAGATATTTGTTAGTATTCAGTATATTTCTATTACACTTTATTAATACATCTCTTCAACAGAATTCTAGTATAATTTCAAATCAGATGGAGGCAATTCACAGTGACCTTGACCTATAATTTTATTTCAAAAAAGAACAAAGATAAAAACATCAATATAAATATTTTATTTATTACATGGTTTATGTATAAATAAAGTATACAAAGCACCCCTTACTGTATATATACACATTCTAAATTGATGCAAAAACAAAAGTATTTACCCATAAATGCACTGCTTTCATACCCAGATGTATCTATATATTGTCTCCATTATATTATACTACATAACTAAATTTCTAAACATTTTCTCAGGTTGGTAAGTATGGATTATAAAAGGTAGAGCATCCAATCTGTGAACAAATGCTGAAAACAATATTTACCATAGCATTTAGTTATGTATTATGAAAAGTTCTCTCTACACAACCAATGAAATTTTCTATGTGACGTTTTAATGACTAGAACGATATGTACACTGTCACCTTCATCAGACAAATGACCAGTGAAGCGTATGCACACAAAGGTGTAAAATGTGTACAAGTTGTCCATAAAATTGATGTCGATTTCGGCTACGCTGGAAACGTAAGTACAATAGTTGTTATATATGTACCGAAATGACTCAATTCAGCTACGCTTCACTGGTCATTTGTCTGATGAAGGTGACAGTGTACATATATCGTACTAGTCATTGAAACGTCACATAGAAAATTTCATTGGTTGTGTAAAAAGAACTTTTCATAATACATAACTAAATGCTATGGTAAATATTGTTTTCAGCATTTGTTCACAGATTGGATGCTCTGCCTTTAATGTGCGATACTAAACAAGACAAAACCATGCATTGTTTACTTTAGACAAGTTCGATGATAAGAGTTGTGCAACTGATGTAAGCTAACTACATCATTAATATTTTATTGTAAATTGATTCGAACTTGATTCAAGATACAAATATCATTATCTCCAGACACATGCACCTTTTGAAAAAGAGATTCTAATCCATCGCTGACATCACAGATCTGTGTTAATATCAATAAATTTGCATAACTCCTCCAACATGTATTATTAATAACCCACAGGTATTACCGACAACATCACAATAATTTGTCTGGTTCCACACGTGAACTTATGCAATAAATCCTGTGAACCCAGAAGTGCTATTAAGTGCAAAATGTAGCATATTTGTAGATACACATTGTCTACAATAGATGGTATACCCGTAATGGTAAAATCAATAATAAATATTATTAACATTAGTTCATTCCTCATCTGATTGTTCCATATTTAGGAAGACCAGGAGCTCAGTGTGCCCTGTTTAGCCCCGTTGAGATTCTGACTTCTGTTGGTTGTCTGTAACTCTTCCATCCAGGAGTTAAACAACCCCTCCATCTTTGACCTGGCTCTAGAGTTGCCATTGTTGACTGTCGGGAGGATCTTGTCTGGTTTCAGATGCTGAGTAAATCGCTTCATCTCCAAGTAACTGCTGTGCTCACTGTAGGGGACGCCTGTCAACAGAAATGACATTATCCAGTAAAATATTTGTTTTTGTCTACAAAACTATTTATTTTTACTGGTATAATTGGGAATTGCTTCATCACCACAAAAGTCATACACAATTTAACTTGTCTGTTAGGACTGGGACTGAAATATTTCATCAGTTTATACAGGGTCCAGTATTTTACAGTGTTCAGTTATTATATATTCATAGTTTGGTGTATAAATTAATGGTCTGGTTTATACGGGTTCTGTTATATACAGCATTCTGATTTATACAGGGTCTGGTTTGTACAGTGTCTGGTTTGTACAGGATAAAGTAGTTTACGGTGTTCAGTAATTATATATTGATAATTTGGTTTATAAATCGTCTGGTTTATACAGGTTCTGTTATATACAGCATTCTGATTTATACAGGGTGTGTTTGTAAAGGGTCTGGTTTGTACTTGGTTTGTACTGGGTCTGGCAGATACAGTGTCTGATTTATACAGTATACAGTAATTATATATATATATAATATACAGTAATTATATATATATATAATTATTGTTAATAAATCTAGTTCAGTTTATAAAGGTTCTGGTATATACAGCATTCTAATTTATACGGGGTGTGTTTATAACTGGTCTGGTTAATACAGGTTCTGGTATATACAGGGTGTGTTTATAAAACATGCACATATGCATAGTTCCATTTATAAAGGTTCTGGTATATACAGTATTCTGATTTATACATGGTGTGGTTTAAACAGGGTCTGGTTTATAAAGGGTCTTGTTTATGCATGGTCTTGTTTATACAGGGTCAGGTTTATACAAGGTGTGGTTTTATACAGTGTGTGTTTATAAATGATCTGGTTCATACAGGGTCTGATAGATACAGTGTCTGATTTATACATGGTGTGGTTTAAACAGGATCTGGTTTATACAGGGTCCGATTTATACAGGGTGTGTTTATAAATGGTCTGTCTTTATACACAGTGTGGTTTAAACAGGGTCTGTTAGGTCAGAGAAGAAGGGGACACCAGCTGTGCCTTCTGTATGAACTAGTACTGACCTAACAAAAGAGGGGGCTATAAGATCTTCACCCTACCAGTTACCTATTCGAAACAATGCGTATACGCATTCTATCGATAGGCGAATCATTCCTGGGTGAGTGACCTATGAAATATACAATTTCGTCACATCGTTGTACAGGTAAGCAATACAAATCGCTCTCTTAGCAGTCATAGCTTGACAAAGGGACCAGTCGGCCTAGAAACGTTGCGACATGTTTAATACGTATAGCTTGACAAATGGACCAGTCGGTCTTGTAACGTTGCGACACGTTTAATACGTAACGCTTGACAAAGGGACCAGTCGGCCTAGAAACGTTGCAACACATTTAAAATACATACATTCTTTATGCATTAAGTAAAACTTTGATATTACATATTTCCAAACTGATGAATCTTATTAAATATGATTCTGCCACGAAATCTGTGATAATTAGGAAATACCCTAAGGCAAATTATTGTCTTGTAATAAAGAAACATGAAAATGACTGAATTGTACAACTTGGTAAGCAATTACACACTCTCTTACCGTATATGTGTATACCGTTCCTGCTGAACTTTGGCCTGAGTTGATCAAGGGAGGTAATCTTGTTGCTATGGGTCCAACCAGTGGGTTCAAAAGCTAGAACCTCTGTATACCTCTTCAGTGTCACCAAGTAATCGGCCAGGGCCTGCCAGTGTACAACAATGTTATCAGTGAAGAACTTAAAAGTTTAACAATGTACTGTATACAGCTTTGAAATCATGCAGTGCTATTTTCTAGTCTTACATTTGGAGATAAAAATTTACTGTGTAGAATTGAACGAAACAAGTTTGTCGCGTCTGTTACTCCTACATGTCTTAGATATCATGTGAATTTTGTGCAACACTATCAGCTGATCAGTCAGTTTTGGACTGGTCGACAGAATGGATTCCCGTGTGAGGGATACCGATTTCTGTTACCTATGATAGCCTTGACATATGTTTGATAGGTTGAAACAAGCTCCAAAATAGGGTCTGATCAAATTTACTGGACAACTACATTGATACACATGTGAAAATCTCCCATTAACTTCCAGTGTGTGTTTGACGAAGCAAAAATACTTACATAGATCTTACAATAATACCTAGAGCTGGAAATTTCTCAAGCATTGTAAAATTCCCTGACAAGACCTTCAGCAAAAGGCTCAAAAATAAAATTGCCACAAAAAATATTAACAGTATTCAGAAACCAGTGAGGACTTTGCCTTGTGTATTAATAATACCTTCAGATTGAGTCTAGCCATGCTAAAGACATGATTTTCTTGCCCAATAAACTGGAATATCACCATGTTGACCAGAGCCAGAAAATTCTATTTGACCCACAGGTCTGGACCTCTCTTTGATATAATAGACTAGCAGGAAAATATTTTCTGTCACTCAATGCCAAGTGCTACCGACTTTTATTAAATGTTCAGCTTTTTTGATGATAAAGGATAGTAAAGGCAGGCAATCTATAGAATCTATCTCTGCGAGTGAGGTTTAGACATAAATAAATATACCTGTATAGTGGTTAAAAACTTGAAATATTGAGGAAAACTGTTGGTAAATTAATAAATATTTCACCCCTCGAGTTCAAATCACCTTATTTATATCTAATCCAAAAGATTATTTTTTTATCATCTCATATTGATGAATTCTTATCTCACTTTGCTGTGTTGAATTTTCACCTACCTTCTGATTAAGTTTGGCCATCGGAAGCACGTGAACTTTAGCTTCGTTTGGACTGAGGGTGATTGACTCCTGAAGGGTGCTGTCCTCCAGACAATCCAGCACCGCTTTCTTCTCTCGTGTCACACAGATCTTACTGTTCAACGCCTTAGCTATAGCTGTGTAATAAAAGTAACACATCTTACTGTCCAACGCCTTAGCTATAGCTGTGTAATAAAAGTAACACATCTTACTGTCCAACACTTTAGCTATAGCTGTGTAATAAAAGTAACACATCTTACTGTCCAACACCTTAGCTATAGCTGTGTAATAAAAGTAACACATCTTACTGTCCAACACCTTAGCTATAGCTGTGTAATAAAAGTAACACATCTTACTGTCCAACACCTTAGCTATAGCTGTGTAATAAAAGTAACACATCTTACTGTCCAACACCTTAGCTATAGCTGTGTAATAAAAGTAACACATCTTACTGTCCAACACCTTAGCTATAGCTGTGTAATAAAAGTAACACATCTTACTGTCCAACACCTTAGCTATAGCTGTGTAATAAAAGTAACACATCTTACTGTCCAACACCTTAGCTATAGCTGTGTAATAAAAGTAACACATCTTACTGTCCAACACCTTAGCTATAGCTGTGTAATAAAAGTAACACATCTTACTGTCCAACACCTTAGCTATAGCTGTGTAATAAAAGTAACACATCTTACTGTCCAACACCTTAGCTATAGCTGTGTAATAAAAGTAACACATCTTACTGTCCAACACCTTAGCTATAGCTGTGTAATAAAAGTAACACATCTTACTGTCCAACACCTTAGCTATAGCTGTGTAATAAAAGTAACACATCTTACTGTCCAACACCTTAGCTATAGCTGTGTAATAAAAGTAACACATCTTACTGTCCAACACCTTAGCTATAGCTGTGTAATAAAAGTAACACATCTTACTGTCCAACACCTTAGCTATAGCTGTGTAATAAAAGTAACACATCTTACTGTCCAACACCTTAGCTATAGCTGTGTAATAAAAGTAACACATCTTACTGTCCAACACCTTAGCTATAGCTGTGTAATAAAAGTAACACATCTTACTGTCCAACACCTTAGCTATAGCTGTGTAATAAAAGTAACACATCTTACTGTCCAACACCTTAGCTATAGCTGTGTAATAAAAGTAACACATCTTACTGTCCAACACCTTAGCTATAGCTGTGTAATAAAAGTAACACATCTTACTGTCCAACACCTTAGCTATAGCTGTGTAATAAAAGTAACACATCTTACTGTCCAACACCTTAGCTATAGCTGTGTAATAAAAGTAACACATCTTACTGTCCAACACCTTAGCTATAGCTGTGTAATAAAAGTAACACATCTTACTGTCCAACACCTTAGCTATAGCTGTGTAATAAAAGTAACACATCTTACTGTCCAACACCTTAGCTATAGCTGTGTAATAAAAGTAACACATCTTACTGTCCAACACCTTAGCTATAGCTGTGTAATAAAAGTAACACATCTTACTGTCCAACACCTTAGCTATAGCTGTGTAATAAAAGTAACACATCTTACTGTCCAACGCCTTAGCTATAGCTGTGTAATAAAAGTAACACATCTTACTGTACAACACCTTAGCTATAGCTGTGTAATAAAAGTAACACATCTTACTGTCCAACACCTTAGCTATAGCTGTGTAATAAAAGTAACACATCTTACTGTCCAACACCTTAGCTATAGCTGTGTAATAAAAGTAACACATCTTACTGTCCAACACCTTAGCTATAGCTGTGTAATAAAAGTAACACATCTTACTGTCCAACACCTTAGCTATAGCTGTGTAATAAAAGTAACACATCTTACTGTCCAACACCTTAGCTATAGCTGTGTAATAAAAGTAACACATCTTACTGTCCAACACCTTAGCTATAGCTGTGTAATAAAAGTAACACATCTTACTGTCCAACACCTTAGCTATAGCTGTGTAATAAAAGTAACACATCTTACTGTCCAACACCTTAGCTATAGCTGTGTAATAAAAGTAACACATCTTACTGTCCAACACCTTAGCTATAGCTGTGTAATAAAAGTAACACATCTTACTGTCCAACACCTTAGCTATAGCTGTGTAATAAAAGTAACACATCTTACTGTCCAACACCTTAGCTATAGCTGTGTAATAAAAGTAACACATCTTACTGTCCAACACCTTAGCTATAGCTGTGTAATAAAAGTAACACATCTTACTGTCCAACAACACCTTAGCTATAGTTGTGTAATAGAAGTAACACATCTTACTGTCCAACGCCTTAGCTATAGCTGTGTAATAAACGTAACACATCTTACTGTCTAACGCCTTAGCTATAGCTGTGTAATAGAAGTAACACATCTTACTGTCTAACACCTTAGCTATAGCTGTGTAATAAAAGTAACACATCTTACTGTCCAACACCTTAGCTATAGCTGTGTAATAAAAGTAACACACATCTTACTGTCCAACAACACCTTAGCTATAGCTGTGCAATAAAAGTAACACACATCTTACTGTCTAATGCCTTAGCTATAGCTGTGTAATAAAAGTAACACACATCTTAGCTATAGCTGTGTGATAAAAGTAACACATCTCCCTGTCCAACACCTTAGCTATAGCTGTCTAATAAAAGTAACACACACTGTGTAATAAACGTAACACATCTTACTGTCCAACACCTTAGCTATAGCTGTGTAATAAAAGTAACACATATCACTGTCTAATGCCTTAGCTATAGCTGTGTAATAAAAGTAACACACATCTTACTGTCTAACGCCTTAGCTATAGCTGTGTAATAAAAGTAACACATCTCGCTGTCCAACACCTTAGCTATATCTGTGTAATAAAAGTAACACATCTTACTGTCTAACGCCTCAGCTATAGCTGTGTAATAAAAGTTATTTAAAGGGAGAACACTCTTAATAGATAAACTAGCTCTAAAGTCAAACTATCCTTTGTAATTTTAACTGATGAATTGGTTACATGCACCTTAAGTAGGACTTTGGCTGTAAATTCTAAATTGCGGTTACAAACGTTATATTTACATTTCTTAGATGTTTCTACTGGGCCTAATGTATGTTATTTCCGTATAACATACATCGGGCTATTGTGACGTTGCTACGCTTACGACGGTCATAACTGTAACTTTGGAGATTGCACTGCTCCACTGTCCGCTGGTGGCTATCTATCTGGATTTACCCTGACGTTGAAACGTGTTCAGACTAATATTAGGTCTTTATTTCTGCGTGAACTGTAAGTTAATTAATATTAAAATGTAAGTATAAGTATTGGTTGTCATATTTTTGACATGCTTTGGTGTGTAACATACATTGGCTTACCTACATATTTAACATGGAGCGCACCATTTAATATGTAGGTAAGCCAATGTATGTTACACACCAATGCATGTCAAAAATATGACAACCAATCCTTAAATAAACATCATTATGTATGTCTTTTTCATTTATCTATTCATTATTTACCCATAAAGATTCTCTCCTTCCCGATGGTGTAGCTGCCACAGATAATGAGTGTCTTGGTGTTTTCTTTCAGCTTCTTATTAACCGTTGACACAGCAAAGTCGATGACTTCTTGTTGGGGAGGGAAGGTATGGGAGGGATCACAGTAACTGAAGAGAAATATTGATATTACAATGTACTATACAGATAAAATTAATGCAAATGACAAATACTGTATTGTTTCTGATAGAGCCCATGCTCTTATAATCTCCAACTCTTCCACATTGAGGGTTAAATACACGAACAAAGTGAACATTTCCCACTGTTTTTTAATTTTGAAGATATCCTCAATACCGTAATTGCCCATCCCCATTCTGACATGTTTTCAACCTAACCCTGCAAATGTTCTTAACATTGTACTTCAGATTATTACAATTTATCAATTGATACACAATAGGCAAACATTCATAAACAAAACGTAACAAGTAGCGCTGAATGAAGTTCGTTCCATTAGTCTATATATGGATAAAGTGTGTCCCCTACTTTCATTTTGTCATGTGCTGTTTTAATCCCCTGGGCTATTATTAGAATAAATACAGTAAGTTTTTAGGAACAGTGTCCATAGACTTATTAAATCCAAAGTTGGTGTAATTTGTAGCAATCCCAAAGAGTTCCCAGGACATATATAGGCTTATAAAATTCAAAAGGCATAGAGGGCCTGCCCATGACCTACTAAATGTCATGTTTCATTAACTGTTACATACGTCCTATTTATAGGAAAATGTCCAGTTGTGTCGAGACTTACGTAGTGTCGAGATAGAGCTGGTGGACGTGAATACCAGTCAGGGCCGGATAACTCTCCATTTCTGTACAGGCACGGAAATCTCCTGTGTGGAGATAATTTCTTCCTCCCTTCAGCTTAAAGAGGAACAGCACAGACCCCGGACAACTGTTGACATGTAGAAAACAACGATTTGGATTAGCGTTAAACCATATGTATCTCTGAAATATCCTGTAACTTAGGTTCGGTAAATATATGTTCCATTTAAAGGAATTTTTATGACCTACGGTAACAGACATTCATTCTGACTTTTAATAGATTATGAAAACATTTTAATGTTGTATATGCTCAAAATTAGATTTAAAAGTCTGCAAAAAATGTAGTTGACATGACAGTGTAGGGTGTGGATTGGTGATGTGTGGGGAATCTTTCTTCAACAACAAACTTTAGTAATCAGTGTTTATCCTTACATACTGGAACCGGTCGTTAGTACTACCCACTTCGTGTGTACTTGGGTGCTATATCACCACTACTGTGGTAGATGGAAATAATGTGGCTTACATGAAATAGACACATAGTGTTATTGCGCCAAGTCTAATGGCAAAACAAGGCGGAAGACACAACACAAAAATTCACAATCTGACTATTTTTTTTACCCCCGCAGAGATGTGAAAGTCTCTTTATTCCACTCCCGAGCAGAATTCACCGTTGATAAAGCGATATACAGTGTACTCTGTCTAAACCAGACACCCCTGGGACTATATTATTTGGTTGGTTTGTAGATAGTTCTGGATTATAGAGAGTCTGCTTAAATATCATTTCTGTATACAATGAGAACTAAGAATACATGTGTGGATGCTTTACTTTGTTCATGCATACAAAGTAATTGTACTTAATATGTTCATTTATCAACAATACTGTAAAAATTTATCATTTCACTTGCAGTAATAAGAAGACAATAATTGTTTTCCAATTAGATAAATTCAATTCATCATTTCATTCATCGTCACTGACATGATCAGAACAACCGACTTGTACATGACATGTCACTGAGACCAAGGAAAATTATCTTACGTAATGTCATGTTATAAGCGATACGTGTTCAGGTGTTAAATAACCTAGTGAATCTGTCTCATGGGTACAGGTGATAATGACTGGTCAACTGTTAACTCCACTGTCTAGTAATTGGGAATGTATAAACACCTGCTCTAGATTTGACACCAGTTAACAGACAGAGAGTAGATTTATTACTGTATAGAAGGCATGGAACTGGGAAACAAGGCAGCATGGTTTCAGAACAGACAGAGCCAGAGATTGATTAATATATTTAAAGAAGAATTTTCTAGGGACTGAAAAGTTTGGCCAGGTTATAGACAAAGATCAAAATAAGACAGATTTGATTATAAGCCAGAGTTTTATTTCTAAATTTCAAGAAAAAAACATCCAGGGACTGAAAAGTTTGGCCGGTTTATGCAAAAATCTTTATCAAAGATACAAATATTGCACACACACTGTCCCTGGTACACTGTATATCTGTATCTGTATGTAACTGGCTCACTGCTGGATAATTGTGGTAAATAACTATAAAAGGGATTACTACTGTATTTGGGCTTGGGGTGTCTTATTACGTCAAATACAGTAGTAATCACTTTTATAGTTATTTACATGCAATGAGTCCACTCTATATCATTCTGTGATATTGCAATGGTTACTGTATCAGCGTTGACTGTGTTAAACAATTTTCTTTGTCTGCATGAACAGAAGACCACCCCACTTTAATGGCGGAAGTTATAACTGAAAATTATAAAAATCTCAAACAGAAAAGAATTAAAATTTCATGAAAAAATATTGAGTTATTATTCTATATTTCTGCCGGGTTGACAAAGGGGTGAGGTGGGTGTGTGTTATTATGTCAAATACAGTATTAATCACTTTAATAGTTATTTACCACAATTATCCTGCAATAAGCCCAGGGGCAAACACATAATCCCTGACTGAAAGCAGGGGAGATGGGCTTATTACAGGACAATGAAAAAGCTTTTGTTGGCATTTCTTCCTAACTGCAATTATATATTGGTGGGCTTATTACCGGATAAACACAGGTAGACTAATTCATAGACTTACTGGTTTGCCTCCAACAGTGTGACCTCTACACCTTCTACAACAGTGGGTGTGGCCATTGGGAGGGTGTGGAGGTATTGTCTGTCTACCTTTATTCTCCTCTCTACCAGGTTAGCCGTTATCTGTACAAAGGTAAATCATAGCAAGATTACCTGTCAGTTCAAAGGTCATGATGGAAAATCAATCATTTAAATATTGTTGAAAACTTATCAACCTTTTCTTATGTTAATCACGCTATGATCATTATGCTGATCTCCATACATTTTTCCTAATTTGTTTTTTTACATCAAAATCTTTTTTTCAGGAAACATGCATCATAATAATATAATAATAATTATGGAAAAGTTTATCTTTTTTTCATCAATAATTAATTTAATATTCACTTGATTTCCCCCCATATTTCAGCCAAACTGGTATACAACAGTTATAAAAAGCCCTGATATGATATATGTATAAACAAATATTTTTAAGGATCCATGTCTCATTGCACTGTGTATTTTCCATACGATAGTATTTAATAATCTTAAGTCTAGGTCTGGCCTCAGTCTAGTCTCTTGAACTTTTACACTCAGAACAGTACAATACTGTTGTTGATTGTGTTTTATTTATTTAATACTTAAATGTTTTTTCTATAAAAGACCTTCAAATTAAAGTACACTGTATATGTTTTTCTTTTCTGAAAGGATTTATCAAAGCTATAGTCACGCTGAAAAAACAGTTTCCAATGCATATTTATAGTTTCTGGAAGTGGTAATGACACCCTTAAAATTTTAAGATTTTAAAGTTTTTAACAAGTGTCAGATGAACTGGTTACCTTACTACAGTAGATCGGATGTTTGAACTTCTTTGTAAGGCCCCTGTAGTGATCGTAGTGGAAGTGCGACAGGAAGTAAGCTGAACAATCCGGTATCGTTCCGAAGCTGAATGCATCCACAGTAATTCCAGTACCTATATTTAGAATCATTGAAATAGATCACATAGCGTCAAATCAAAACAACAGCACTTAATGATAGTAATTTGAGGTTCTATAGACCCCCTTATCACAACCTAGTTCGTAGGTCGTCTCAAAGCGGTTCACAAATTATCATTCGTGGTTATATTATTAGGCCTTTAATTTGCAACCAGCCAATATCTTTCTCAACTCCCTGGGGAGCATACAGCCGGTGCTTCAATTTCGGCGCTCACAGCTAGCATTCAACAATTCTAGCACTGCCCAACCACATACTCATTTACAGCTGAGTAGACTGGAACATGCGGAGTAAAGTATCTTGCTCAAAGATACAACACAGTGTTGTGACGTGACTCGAACACGCAACCCTTTGGTCACGAGCCCCGCATTCTACCACTAGGCTACCGTGCCTCCGTAAACTTACAATTGAATATATTTATTCAAGTAATCCCTTCTCATTTCAATTTCTGTGTATAGTGGAAATTTTGTGAATGTGCCACAAACAATTCACAGGAACTAGCATCGTTTACCAATACCCTTTTAAATTATAGGTGTATTGACAAATGAGGCTAAGTACCTTTGAATAACTTGTAATTCTTCACAGTTTTATTATCATTTTTATTTTCATTTCTCAAGTTGATTAAAGTAAGATGTCCACATAATGCCCCTTAGAACACCTGCCACCAAGCTTATAATTACCACCAACATATTTTAATTTATCGTTGATATATTTCAATTTACTATTTTCTTTTTTCTTATAAATCCCTTCAGGCATCTCCTTCGATATATCGCCAAACTTATTTATAATGTTGAAAATTGTGTTGGATAAATGATTGCAGTATATCCTGATTAAATGTTCTAGCAGATACTTTTATTATAATCTCTTGTTATATAATGTACGTAATTCAATAGTCATAAAATTTTCAAATTGGTATGGTTACTATAATTGAAAAGTCAAACAATATCTGGTACATATATATATATATATATTAAGCAGTTTGATATACAATATATTACTTTTAATAAAACAATTTCTCTAAGAACATTAAAAATATGTTAAAAATCTACGAGGAGAAGTTTAACAGAAACACATGTCAAACTTTACCTGGCATTTTCTTGTAAAAAGGACACTGCCGTTGTCCGCCCCACTGTTTCTTTTCTGGTTCAGGAATGTTCAGATTATCACTCTCCCCGGTGTTAGCGCCGGTTGACGTTGACTGTACAGGTACAGATGTTTTATCATTTCTGTTCGGGCCCGACTGCTTGGCTTTCATCAGTATTGCCATAGCGTCCACTTTACCGGGGACACTCTGACTTTGAGAAGTTGTACTGTGCCTTAAATTTGTACTCTGCGATTTGGTTTTGTCCATTAAAACGCTGAAAGCATTTTTGCTTTTAGATGAATTTGTCGGAGATTTGTCTGTGTTTTCTTTTGCAACATGTTTCTGTCTGAGAGTGCTGGATCCAGATGTTTCTTCCTTTACCCGACTCAGATCAACAGAATCTTTATCGTACCTTGTCTCACTTCTCATAGATCTGTTTTGGTTGGACCCCGAGGACGTATCCTGAAATCCATTATCTGAATCTTTTTGTATCACAACTAGTGGTGTAACACCTTCACAAACAGATCCGTTGTTATCCAGATCAGATTCCTTCATGTTGTTTACTGATGTCACTTGTACACAACTATTGTTTTGAAGTAAACAAGGTGAAACCTCTTTCGCGGCACTAGTGTTCTCACCAGATTTTTCAAACAGGACCTTTTTCGCATTCAAACATTTGAAAAAAGATTTCACAGACGGTTGATCGGGTCCTGGCGACTTTCCCACTGTAGATTCACCAGTTTCTAGCAGATCATTCCCAGATTTTTTCTTACTCGTACTTTTCCTTGCCTTTTTACTTGAAGATGTCATTCTTGGAGACTCTAAGTCAGAAGTTTTCTTGGTGCTGCTAGCAGATTTCTTGTTAGAACTTTTCCTTGCAGATGAAGACCCAGACTTGGTTGGTGTTTTGAAAGGCAAAAGTTCTTGTGCTGATAAAGTTGTTGATGGGTTCCTTTCCCAATCACTCTTCATGAAATTATCCAAGCTTCCTTGAGAAAAAGATTTTGTGGAAGAGGGACTTTTCCCTCTAGGACTAGACAGAGGGCTATAGCTAACTCCTTCATCTAACTGAATCCCAAAGGTTTCCTTAATAATGACTAAAGTACTATTTTCATTGGACATTTTCTTTTCATCTTTTAACTTAGAAACAGATGAAGAAATCAGATATGTAGAATCAGTTGAATCCACATCAAAAGCATCAGCCAGCATTTCGTCCAGATCTTTTTCTATTTCCTCTTGTGATTCACTGATGTCTTCGTTACTCACACTAATATCATCACTGATCTCTTGGTTATTAGAAACTGCAGTCACTGTTTCTTTCTTTTTGCATAATTCATCGTCCGAGTTGATTGTGTTGACATCACAAGTTTTCTTTTTATTGTTGAGATTTCTTGAATGTCCTGGCTGATCGTCATCAAATAAGTTGATTTTCACCTGAGATGTATACTGTTCATCTGAAAAAAAAAAAAAAAATGCTGGATAATTAGTCATCCAATTACTGGTAATTTTCTTAACATATTGATATTCTCACAACAGTCTGAAGTGTCTCCAAGACGGGACAAAATACACAAGCTAGTGATCAATACAGAAATTTTAAAATATATAATTGATTATTTATGAAATTCTAAGCCTAAGGGACAGCTTTCTTGGATAATGATATACCTTTTTGATGAGACAAGATTGAAGATGTGTCGGTCTTTTGACCACTTCCCCGTAACTGTGCCAGTGTCCGATGAGAAAACTTCCAGTAGTGACTTGGTATGGTGTTATCACACAAAATACCAGCTGGACATTCTGTAAAAAGTACGATTTAATAATTTAACAATCACGTAAGTTAAAACATAATACAATGATCACTTCATTCTTCTTTAGTCAGAAATCTATTAGAATATGTCAAATAACATCAATTGATTTCATTTAAATTTGATTCAAAGTCATGAAACTCCAGCCGAATTTCCAACACTTATTCTAACTATGATGGCATTGATAAATTGTTCATGAATGTCCATACCTTGATTTTTGGGTTGCTTTTGCAAGGTGATAGGAAAACACAAAATTTTATCAGATTATTCTCATTGAAGATTTAATTTGAAAGGAGTCCCCCAAACTAAATTTATAAGCTTTTGCCGTTCTATCTGTAAAGTTTTGGTTTCTGCCATCTGGTAAGTTTCACCTTCCAGCAGCTGCTTGTGTCCTATTTGCCAAGAAGTATGTGATCCGTGTATTGACATTCCCAAAGTGATGAGGCTTATATATATATGTATTAACAGGTTATGGCTGACTTTCATTGAAGGCATTTGAGAAATCTATAATGAGGACATCTGCCCGTTTGTGGTTTTATTATGTAACAGGAGACAAAAAACACATGGCAAGACCAGGGTTTGAACATGGGACCCTCCAAACTCTAGATGGGCAATGTATTCAATTGAGTACATTGAACTATTTGAACAATTGAACTACAATGTACCTGGTCGCTACATTTTCCCTCCTTCAACAAAGTCTTTGACCCCGAAGACACTATACTACCTTCTGTGGACATATTTCGTTGGGCCACAAATGTAACAGGAGATGAAAAATGCACGGCCAGACCAAGTTTGAACCTGCAGGGAACCTCCAAACTCTAGACAGACGTGTAACCAGTTGAGCTATCCGGTGTCCAGCGATCGACCGTGTCCAGTTCCGCTACATTAGATTAACAGGAACTGGAGCACCGGAAAATCTGACCATATAGGCAGATTGGGTCAATTATGACTATATAGGTAAATATATATATATAGGACGAATGTAAACAAACGTGTTACTGGTGATATTTATCTCGTACATGTCGATAAAATTGTGAGTTGGTGAAATTAAATATTATTGTCTGATAACACATGTACAATTTTAATTTATTCAGTGAATTTCCATTGCTGCATTTTTTTCCTGTCATCTTGAGTCCCTTATTTATATGAAAGTAAAATCCATTTTCGCCCTTCATATTTAATTACAATGCATATTATGTTGCAAGTGACTATTCAATAGGCCTATGGCCTCAGTGTCTTCCCGGACATAAGTATCAGGGTTCTCCCCAGATTAATTTTAAGCTGATATGTTTCATTTTCAACGAACATTCAAGACGGACACGCTCAATAATACCTTATTCAATTTAGGGAGGGGGGCTTCAGTTTTTGATTAAATAAGTACTTTTATGTACCAAATATATAAATATATATTTTAAACTTTATTTATTTTACAACTTTGATGAAACAAGTTATGTTAACTTGTATTAATCACTCTATTTACCAAACTTTTGATGAACTTTAAAACCAAAGAAATAAATAATTGTTCCTTTAATGTCTGAATTTTCTGCTATATAGCCAGATTTGCCACTGATCCAGTACCTGTGTAAAACTGAAAGATGTGCATTGATTAGGTTGCCTTACAAGCGTCAGCTATAGGGAATTTCCCGAAAATATAGCCCCAGCGACGGCACTATCTTAATCACTATTCCTTGTCCTATTACAAACTGGTGCTGTTGTCCGCCCTCCCCGTTCAAGGTAGGAGACCCCTTGGAGGGGAGTCAAAGAACCTGGGTTGGTGTAAGAAAAAAAGGGGGAACAGTGTAAACGATGTGCATTGATTACGTTGCCTTACAAGCGTCAGCTGTAGGGAATTTCCCTTAAGCTAAGCGGTAGAGCATCGGGCTGGAGAGTAAAGGGTCGTGTGTTCGAGCCCCAGCGACGGCACTATCTTAATCACTATTCCTCATCCTATTACACCTGATTAAAGCTTCAAGAAAAGAAATATATTATTGTCATCATCATAAAGCTTTACCGATGTTCGACATATCTTTGTCCAGACATTCGTTGACATGCCATGTCGGGGATTTAAAGCTAAGAGCAGTGTATGGAACTTGACAATGAGGACAAAATCCCTCAAGCAGATCTGGACGACAGGGTTTTGAAGGCGTTTTTTCATTCTTCTGAGAAAGTTTGGCGGCATGTTTATTTTTGCTTCCTTCTTTTTTAATATTTTCGTTTAGCTGTTTCTGTGAATCTGTCATCTTCTTTTCACGTGTTTTCTTATTAAGCCTTTTGTTAGCACTGCTTAAAAGTCCATTAGCAGTGCGACCAGAAACTCGAGATTGCGATTTAGGATCGCGCTTTTCTCGCTTGAGACATTTGTAGTCCCATATTTCATCGTCTTCGCTGTCGTTCTCTTTTAACAATATTGGAACACTTCTTTTCATTTCCAAGTGTTACACAACCTCTAAATCGTCAACATACCATTCCCGCCGATGCAATTGTAACATTTGTATCTCAATTTGCGGAGAGTTACACTGGTTGCTTGAAAATACGAAATGTAAGATTGAAAAACGTCATAAATAGAGAAAAAGGATTGTAGCGCTTTGATATCTCGAGCATATATTACAGATAAAGTGAGTTTTATTTTCATTTATTTCATGAAGATTATGTTTCTTTTGTTCGTCATTATATATTTCCGTTTGTTTCTGTTTACAGTTCATTCTGTAAAATATATTTCGTCACTAATGTAAACCAAAATGGAGAGAAAAAGACGGTAACAAGCGGTGCTCGTTTTCAAAATAAGAATGGATGGTATTTAACTGACTATTTTAGAAATGCCTATGGCGACAACCCGTTCAAATGGAGGAGGATCTACCATAACTTGTCCAACATGTGACCATACGGTAAATTGTCAGCCGGGATCAAACAGAACCATCTGCCCTAACTGTGGGAATTTTTACAGTCGGGATGAGGCTGGCAGGGCACCCCGCGCCCGCGGTCAGCGAAGAAGGGGTCAGGAAAAAAAGCCACTACCTGACCTTGATAAGGTGAGGACTTAAGACATCATAATGCCAACTATTCATAATTTGTTTCTGATATCTATGGTGACTCAGTATCCTGTGGCTGTGGTATTTACCACAGGTGCTCGGGTTCAGTAATATATGTGATTTATAAGGTATCGCACATCACTTTAATGATAAATAATTGGGTTTTAGAATATATAGCATTATGTGTTTAAAGACAACACACTCAAGAGTCACCAATAAGTGGGTTTAAAAATAAACTTTAAAACCCACTTATTGGTGACGCTTGAGTTTGTTGTTTTCACCATTTTCTTTATAGTGTGCCTATATTCTGTAATCGCCCTGCATACCTTTTGGTATCCGTACTCAAAGCGAAGCGACCCACTGATCAACCAACAAACCTACACTTGACGTTGGCTTTATTATAATACATTATCTGTTTAACTGTAGCGGAACTGGACTGGGTCGCTTGTTGGCAACCAGATAGCTCAATGTGGTAGAGCATCCGTCGGGTTCAAACCCCAGTCTGGCCGTGCATTTTTTCCTCTTACATTTGGCGCCCAACAAAATATACCCACAGAAGGTGATATAGGGTCTCTTGTGTCTTCAGGGTCGAGGACTTTGTTAAAGGAGGGAGCTAGGAAATTAGAGTTCGGAGGGTCCAGGGTTCGAACCCTGGTCTGGCCGTGCATTTTTCCTCTCCTGTTACATAAGTATCGCACTAAATATCGCAGCCCTGGACATGTGAGATGAGTGTTTAAATGCAAACCCCTCATCAGAATTTAAAGATTACCTGGAAAACTCCATCATGAAGTGTTCATGCAATGTTATTCATGACTTTTAATTCAACTGGCCATGGTATTTCATGATAACTGATTGAGATCCAGTAAAGATTTGTATAGGCCCATGCAGTGTTTTTGATATGCTGTCAATTACTTTTGTTATAGTTGTGGTATAATCTCAGTAATGACTGAATCAGTAGATGCATGATTTGGAAGAATGAACATATATATATTGCAAAGAAAGGAGGCAGTATGAATCTAACTAAAGTGGTACCAACATTTTGGAGGTAGAAGAAACAATTTTCACTACACTAAGTTGAAATTAGACATTGATTGTGTAACAGAGGTCATTATTTTTTCAATGCCTCCGCTAGAAGTCCAACCCTGGACCTCTGTCATACTAGTCTTAGAAATTCTCCCTAGCCGAGTCGGTAGGAAGCGGCTAGTATTTTACCAGGGTGACATACTCCCCTCCAGCAACTCCTCCTGAGTTTTCCAGAGGTCATAGCCATTCCTTTGCTAGCATCACCAAATAATTTTGTCCTATTTCTAAATTTTCTCAGGTCCTCACATTGGCGCCAATGTAACAGAGGTCATAATTTTTTCAATGCCTCCGCTAGGAGTCGAACCCGGGACCTCTTGTTAATTAGTCATACGCTAGATACCGAATGAGCTAAAGAAAAATTCTCTCTTAAGCAGAGTCGGTATGAAGTGGCTAGTATTTTACCAGGGTGACAATTGTGTGATTATGTAACACTGGTCGTACGTATCATAAACCATCTTGTTGCTTGTTACTTACTTTAGCTATTATCTGTTTTTCCTGTCTCAATTTTAAGCGGTTACTTGTGAATGTTCAATGAAATTTCTGACATCTTATCTCATGCTATTGAATAACCACAGAAAAAAATTCTAAGACGGTAATTGTACATAAAATGAATAAATCTGAATTACGGCTGTAAGTTTTTCAAGAATGAACATCATTATATCCTCGAGCTCTATAGCTAATATAACTGGTAAAATACCGATGAGTATAATTATAAGTCTGCGTTGTTTGAACTTCTTTCCTTCAAGTTACACATAATTTAGAGGTAACATAGAATGATGTTTCCCTGCTGCTGCAATGGCAATAAAAATCAACTAAACCAATATTAAAAAAAAAATCTTAACATTATGATTATAAAGCATATGTATTACAGGCTGCAGGCCCTTTGTAACTGTTATATATATATCTGCTTCAACATTGAATCACTCAAATGTAGAACTCTAGAATTCATTTTCCTCAATTTTTCAAAGATACCCTGAATAAAGGAAACATGAGGGAGGAAACTCTGGACAAGAATGATTGACAGAGAAACATAAGGATATATTTTAAAGTTACTGTGTAATCATTAATTTCAGTGAGGTTTTTAATTTCGTTGATTAGTGGTTAGTCTTCACCCATAAATTAATAGGTCCACAAAGTATTAAAATTACTAGTTTGATATAAAGCATTTCTCGTTTTAGTCAGTACTCATATTATTATTAATACACAGGCACAATGTATTCAAGATATTTTGTTTTTTGTCGGGTTACAAACCCACAAAATTTGGGGCCCTCGAAAATATCTGATTTCACAGTATCTGATAAATAACATAATCCAAGATACAATGTTATTGAATATTTGTCAGGTGCACTAATGTAATGTAAAGTAATCGAATATAATCTGAACAAAAAATGATGAAGTATTTACAATACCCCTATCAATTGATATGAGAATGCCAGAGAAATTGATTTAACATAAAGGTAGAATAAACTCTGAAGGTAAGAATTAGAATCAGTTGAACAGAGATGGTATACTTAATTGTTTTAAAAATTAATTCCATGAAATTTTATGAATGAATGAAAGTCTAAACACTCAGCATATGAAACAAATTGATATGGACAATGTTTTAGTCTGTGTGAAATAATGGTGATTGGGGATCTGAAACAAGTTTATATGGACAATGTTTCAGTCTGTGTGAAATAATGGTGATTGGGGATCTGAAACAAATTGATATGGACAATGTTTTAGTCTGTGTGAAATAATGGTGATTGGGGATCTGAAACAAATCGATATGGACAATGTTTTAGTCTGTGTGAAATAATGGTGATTGGGGATCTGAAACAAGTTTATATGGACAATGTTTTAGTTTGTGTGAAATAATGATGATTGGGGATCTGAAACAAATTGATATGGACAATGTTTTAGTTTGTGTGAAATAATTATGATTGGGGATCTGAAACAAATTGATATGGACAATGTTTTAGTCTGTGTGAAATAATGGTGATTGGGGATCTGAAACAAGTTTATATGGACAATGTCTTAGTTTGTGTGAAATAATTATGATTGGGGATCTGAAACAAATTGATATGGACAATGTTTCAGTCTGTGTAAAATATTGGTGATTGGGGATCTGAAACAAGTTTATATGGATCGCGCGATCGGCGGACAATGTTCAGTCTGTGTGAAATAATGGTGATTGGGGATCTGAAACAAATTGATATGGTCGCGCGATCGGCGGACAATGTTCAGTCTGTGTGAAATAATGGTGATTGGGGATCTGAAACAAAGGACTACATTATTCTTTGATTTTGAGTTTGTTCAAGCATGCGCTCTACAGTTTTCAGGAGAAGAACTATGCTAAAAAAAGGCAAAATTCACTGAATATTCATTTTTTTCTAATTTATGCACATATATGTATGGTTTGGGTACGTATGTTTTGACCCCCAAATGAATCTAAAATTCAAAACCTTTAAATGTACTTTGAAATGACTGTTTCTTTTATTTTAAACACTTCCCAAACATTATCATGAAATATTTATTTGTATTTCTAATTATTGTTGCCATGGTAATAATTTCAAATTTGCATAAATTAGAAAAAAATGAATATTCAGTGAATTTTGTCATATTTAGCATAGTTTTTCTACTGAAAACTGTAGAGCGCATGCTTTTACAAACTCAAATCAAAGAATAATGTGTTGGCACCTATATTACATCTTGAGGAGAAATATAAAGTTTGTTCAAGAGTGCGCTCTATGTGATGGTAACTAAGAGAAAAACCTGTCAAAATTTACTGAATATTCAAAATTCATTAATTTATGCAAATATTTACTGGTTACCATGGCAGCCATAATTGAAAACCTAAATTAATGTTTACATAATAGTACCAGGGAAGTTTTTAAAATTAAAGAAACAGTCATTTGAAAGTTCTATGGGAGATTTTTAATTTTGATGGATTTGGGGGCCAAAAAAGGCCTAAACCATACATACACATAGTCCTATATATGGACAATGTTTATAGTCTGTGTGAAATAATGGTGATTGGGGTCCAGGATCTGAAACAAATTTATATGACAATGTTTCAGTCTGTGTTGTAAAATAATGGTGATTTCATTGCTGAGGTTCTATTGTAGATCAACTTCTCTAAATTCAAAAAGCCTTTTATATATTATTGATTTTTTTAAATTTTAAGAACCTCGATCAACAGTAACTAAATTTACCATAACATTGATCTTCATACTCCTATATCTATGTTTAGTTATAAAGGAACCATATTATCCCATTTTATAAACTGGACCAAAGTACCATGTTCAGGTTAATCAACCGATGTGATCAATACAAATATCGTTTTCGTTTGACTATATATGGCCCTGTTTGGCATGTTTGTGTAATTTACCATGTTTGTAATGAGATTAAAAGTTTTTTTTCTATTTTTTTTTACTGTACATTCATTTTAAAATTTGGGGCCGCGGTGGCCAATTGGTTAAGGCGTCTGACATTCTGCTACCACTATAGCCCTCCACCACTGGGTCACAGGTTCGAGACCTATATGTTGGGGAGTCGCCAGGTCGGCACTATTTCTCTGGGAATTCCAACTTTTCTCCACCATCAAAACCTGGCACGTCCTTGAATGACCATAGCAGTTAATTATAATAGGACATGCATAAAACACAAACCAAATTTAAAAAATAAACAATAAAATTTCAGCTTTGCACTTAAAACACCATATTAAGCTTTTTACAAGCACCCTAGGCCTGTGTGCTTAGCAATTTTAGATAATTAGAATGAGTGCAGAAATTCCTCAAAGATGGCACTTTTTGTTTCAAATAAGTCATGATTTTAGGTGAGAAGTTAAAGAAAGCTTTTACTGGCCCAGGAAATTGATGGGGCATGCCTTCGTAGTAATGAGATGGAATCTAGTTTAATTCATTTCTTGATAATGG